TCGTGTTGCCTTGCGAGCTTCCGGAGACGATGAGAGCCAATGAACGCTATATGAACGTGGTTACTGGAGTAAGGGAACAACCCTCGCCGACATCCCCAGACAGATGGTTCGTGTGGTAACTCGATCAATTCGTGTGCGTGTTGAGCATAATTACAAGTATTGTACACAAGCCTGGACAATGCATGATGATGGGTCAAGATGATGATGGTAGCGATCAATGAGGATGATGAGTCAAATGCCAAAAAAAAAATCGCAATAAACGCCTCAAGGCGAAACGCCGCAAGGTTGCTCTAACTGGACGCTAATAAGCAAACGAAGGCCTTCAGATCAGATGGCAAACGTACTAAGTAAATTTCACGTCCGGACAATCACGCGCCGAGTGTGTTTCCCTGCCCTCCTTCGCTCCGCATAAGGCATTGGCCGCCGCCAGGCTTCATCGGGGTCGTATTCATCTGACGCGAATTCACTTTTCGGTGTACCAATTTGGGCGTTATCGTGAGGTGGGGTACGTAATGCAGTGGGATGGAGATTGGGTGGATGCTGAGAGGAAGGTGAATGGGAGGGGATCGGATAGAGCGGCGCAGACGTCACAGGAGCAGTCCCCCTTGGAGGCGGTCTAGAGTTCGGCGGATGCGGGTAGGGAACGGGGGTGGAAGCTGATTGCACAGGGGAATGATGGGCTACATGACCGAGGGGTGCCCAAGAACGAGATGGGTCCCTGCCACGAGATGCTTTCGTTGGGATGTTCTCGCCGTCCGCGCCGTTCTGAATGTCAACCTCCACTCGCACACGAACGATCTCCCGCCCAGCTTGTGCGAAGAATGCCCGTTCTTGCCGTTGAAAATAACCGCTCGTCGGGCCTGCACGCATCTCCTGTGAGATGTCAGGAGGGGCCGGCGGAAACATAGCCATGAGATCGTGGCCTGTCAGAGGAGCGGCGTATTTTCGTTGGGGCATATCGGGTGTATGGTTGAGGTCAACGTCTATATCCGCGTGAGTTGATAAAAAAAATTATATACAGCATTGGACTCACCTCGTAGTGAACTTGGAGAAAGTGGTCGGCGTGGACGGCCGTTGGTCTGGTTCGACGACATTGGTGAAGGGAGGACGACGGAGGGACCCTTGGACGATGGACTGTGGCTAGCTGGAGTAGTGGAAGCTGTAGGAGAGGGCGATGGCGAACTGTCAGAGACGGGGCGGAGGTGGAAAGACATGGTGGTACGTGAAGGGTTGGGGCGTATGGGCGGATCGTGGAGAGTAAAGCCAGGGTAATTTATATCAACAAGCGGAGCGGGCAGACAGTTGATCGCGTAAGAAGTTCAGAAGTTATCAGTAGATCGAAACCGGTTCGATTCGAGGTGAGCGAGAGAGTAAAACGATTTCGATCTCCGTGTACAGGTAACAGGTCCGTTCGTCCGAATTTAGCGCTAAGCGTTGCTTGTGACAGCAACCTTATGCGGGGACCCGTCTCAGGGTCAACATTTGTTATCCACGTTGTCCCATGCTTTTTATCAGATCTTGAACTGTCAAAGAAGCTCCCCGTATTGAGCATTCCTCAAGAACCACACTTCATTGACAGAAACCGCTCAGATGAGCCGGTGATTTATACCTGGTAATGATTCGATATCCTTCATCGCCGTACTTGTCGGCTATGCCAATTCGATTAATATGCCTTGATTGGCAAAAGATAAAAGCGCGAAACGCTGCAGAAACTACGAGCGAGGAGGATCTCCCCACACAGCCTATCAGGGATATTACCCTTCTACAGGGTGAAAGACAGTGAAGGCGATGGTAGCACTGGAGATTGAATGGACGACCAGATGCTGTTCTTATTCCATGGACCTGAGGTGATTTGAGGTCCGCCTGCTACACAAGATTGTCGGAACCCATGGTCGATCCTCGTCGATCATTCGTGACAAGGATCGCGATCGACTTCCGGTCCCTGGTGCCCAAATGTTGAGGTATGTTGGCAGTGGGGTTACTGACATCGATGTCTTCAATTCGTGTCACTCAACACTCACGAACCTGATGGGGAGTAACCATCGGTAAACGACATTTGCATCCAGAACGCCATCAGACGATGCCTTAAAGTTCCTAAACAGCTGTAATGACAGAGTGATGAAGTACACATAGCGTCGGCATATTAGACAGCTCCAAGTACCGACATCCCACCATATATTTAGATGATCTTGACACTGGTCGAGCGGGTCTGAGTATTGTGCAGGCCGTCGTGAAAAAAAACCGAGGCATGACTATCAAAAGTGTGTGGTAGATTGAGCGCATACTTCGTGATAATGCCAAAACGCGGAGGATAGTGAGCTCTGTCAGAATGTGCTTATTTGATCGATGGACTGACGACCATGATCACGACTCGACGGTCTTGTCGTTGCAGATGACAACTTGGGTACCTTGACGAACTTGAGCTTGATCGATGGCTATCGACGGTTGTTTGGCAGTTCACTGTAATTCAAACGGTGACCTCTCTGAGTTTTAAATTGTTGAAGGAGACTGAATGTCCAACCACCACTGTTCACGATGTTACACCGCTAAAACCTGGCAAGGCGGTCTAGTGGATGGGCGATTGCATGTCTACTTCTGTCTATGGGCCGCCGGGACCTGGTTTCTAAAATTTTCACGTAAGCGAAGATCTCTCCAGTTTCGCCGACAGACTCCTGAGTCCTGCGTGACAGCGGTATGTACTCTAGCTGTAGGAATAGAAGTTTATAAATGGGGGTTGTCCTAACAAACTGTTCCTATAGATGAACCTGATGTGATAGGTCATTGGGACGCAGGGCTGTGGTTCTGCATCAGGCATGATGAATCTCACAAGGCCCTCCGACTTCTTCTTTGTGCCCACGACTTGGTTGCTTCCTTGATAATGTGCGACAAACATCCGTTCCTGGAAGGTAGCAGAAAGCATCAATCTCTTCTGCCCAAACTCCCAGTCAGCCGTCAACTGTATGTCCAGCTGATTTATGTAGTGCAGGTTCATCGACTCTTTTGAAATTTCGCAGGGCACTTGCACATCTGACGGCGGCGCTAGGATTGCTTGAAAATCACAGTCCTCTGACTTTTAAGCAGCGAATGGAACATGTTTCGAGGTACGTCAGTCAGCATGCCTTCGAAAATAAGGAAGAACCAATCTTTCTTCTTTCTCCACTATTCCACAGGGTTCTTGTTATCTTACCCGAGAAGCGTCAAATTGCGTGGTTACATTCTCCCCACAACATCGGAGGCTTTTCATCACCCTTTTATACCACGTCCCCACGACCGAAACTCCATTCAACGCTCTGCGAAACCTTATGACGCCTCGGCTACTCGCCATTTTCTCTCACATCATGAACTGGAAGAAGCGCGGCCCACCCTAATCCTTCCTGAACTGCAGCTTTGCGATCCTTCACTTTCAACATTCGAAGTCTTGACGGTCGAATTACTTCCAGACACGGCAGGAGACAAACCCCTATGTACAGATCAATGCAACTGCCCACAAGGCCATACAAGGCTGCGTCCTTTTGGACCGGGTATTTGGACGGTCCGCATCGCTCTTTAAACGGCCGAGACCTCTGTTTAGGTGTTCGACGGTGCCTTCGGGACCTCCTTACCCTACCGCCATTCTCGCACACTTGACGGGTTGAAGATCCCCTCGGAAGAACAGCTGGTTTCTCAGCCCGATCCCCAAGATCCGGATGTACTCCTTATCTACGGGATGGAGCGGCTTAATTCTATCTTCGCCTTAAAGCACAGCCTCTGACAAGGTAGGACCGTTGAGTCAAATGGTGAGTGGAGCCCCCATCTTTCGAGGTCATGGGGCTCTTTCATAAAGCCTCTCTTGGTCGATGTTCGAGTTCGAGTCCTCTGCTAATCTTAGCCACCTAGCCTCATCCTTCCCAGTCGAGATGCCGAGATACTGCCTTCGAAAATATGTAAAGGTGGGTGTTTTTTCATCGATTTCGACTATTCCTAGCCAATTTCCCTCTCGAAAGCCATTTTCTGTCACATATAACACCTACCCGTGCATGTCGGAATTTCATTATCCTTTTACGAGACTACCATCATTGACACTTCAAGCGCTATGATCTAATCTGCCGTAAGAAAGTCTTGCGACAAGGAAGCTGGCCAATCCGTAACCGTAACTGTTGTATCTTAGACTGCTTCGTCGGCGTCAGGTGGAATCCGGGCTCAGGGCTGCACCTGGTATGTCTTCGTTGCCGTAATCCTCACGTTGGACATCCCATTGAACGACGCAATACTTGGGCGTGTGTATGGCAGCTCGGCGATCGGGTCAGTTTCCATTCGACGCAGGCTGTTTATCGCGACTTTCTGTTCGCCACCGTCTTGTCCGCGACACCCGTCGGTGAAGTCTTACCCATTTATCATGGCGTTTTCTAGGGTCCCCGTGCGCTCCGTGGGATGTCATTCCCTGTCTCGGGCGCGGGACCTCAGTTTATCCTGCAGCCCTCTAAACCTGTCAACGTCATACTTCACGACTTGGGCGCATTTAGATGGACATATTCATTTTCTCACCGGATGGGGAACAGGTTCGGTCCAAGCTTATACTTGCTGCACCTTACGACTCGTCTACGGTCTCACGTCAGTCTTCATGCACCAGATTGCCCAAAATATACTGATTCCGGTGGTCAGAGCGATGAATTAGAGGATCCCTGAACTCTGAGCTTGATGTTATACTCGACTCTACTACCCCTGCAGGACACGATACCTATCGATATTTCCGCCATTGCGAAAGTGTGAACCATCTACAGCAGAAAAATCAACAAAATGCCCCTCATGCTCAGATTCCTTGCACACTTACCACAGACCATCGTAGCCTAATGGTTATGGCGTTGCTTTACAAGCTTCCGCGGTAGGGGCTGGAAGGGTGCTCGATAAGGTTGGCATATGACTAGTGATCTTGAGAAATCTCGTTGATTTACGGCAAAAAATTAACAAACACCTCGCACCATGGTCCGATTCCTCATCAACCCATCGTAACCTAATGGCAAGCCATCGTAGCCTAATGGTTATGGCGTTGCTTTCCTATTACGTAAGCAAGGCAGAGGTTGTGGGTTCGACTCCCATCGATGGTTGGTCTACTGTTTTTCATTCCTCATCTTTCATGCCGCATCACGCGCAATTTTTACTGTACGCTACTAGAATACTTACCTGAATCGAGAGAGTGAGAGTATGGAGGGCAAAAGGTAGCTACTTCAAAACGGCCTTTCGATCCTCTCTTTATACATTTCGAGAGCGGGACTGGATTGAAAGAGGGGACCGGATCGAGGAGGAGGTGACGTTTTCTGAGACCTTCACCTGGTCAGAACCTAAATCCTGTTAAACGGTTAAAACCTAAATCTGAGTGCGCGGTTGAAGATAAAGACCGAACGATGTATCAGAGAGTGAGAGTATGGAGGGGAAAAGGGAGCTACTTCAAAACGGCCTTTCGATCCTCTCTTTATACATTTCGAGAGCGGGACTGGATCGAAAGAGGGGACCGGATCGAGAGGCGGAGGTGACGTTTTCTGAGACCTTCGCCTGGTCGAAACCTAAATCCTGTTAAACGGTCGAAAGCTAAATCTGAGTGTGCGATGAAGATTTGTGCATAATGACGATATCGTACATAGGATTGCTACGTACACCCACCGCAAACCTTAATCTTTCGTGAACGCCGCTAGCGCGTATGTCAAGTTTGCTTGCTGGGTCACTGTTCAAAACAGTGACATGATCGATGCTAGCCAAAACTTCACGGTGGATTTCAACTCGAACTCGCGGCAAGCAAAGTTCTTTCGTTCCTCTCGAAGCGCCCCGTATGCATATCCCGCGGGGAACAAATCAAATATTCTGGAAGCACGATAGTCACCGCCGTGTTTAAAATCCTCGTTCGCAGTACTCTTCATAGGGCAGAGAATATCATCGAATAATTCCCGTTGTGGAGAAACGCAGTTAGTGCGAATCGTTTGGAGCCTATAAGTAGTTACATATGTACGTAGATATATATAAGATACATTACAACTCATAAAGTCCCGGAGACTAGAATCTAATAACGAGAACATGAGTTTGAAAAGTACTCAGCCTATCGATGCAGGCGAGGGTCCCATGTCAGGCCCCACTCGAGGCCCCACAGAGCCAAAGCTCGTCGCAGTATAGTAGGACATCGTGGACGGGTAGCTCGAGCCGGTACTCGCCAAGCTTTCCGCCATGCTATTCACGAGGCCTCTGTCCCCCAGCTCTCCGAGCTCCGTCGTCCTCCCGGCACCCAGCAGGGTCTCCGCGCCTGCCGTGATGCTATTGCTCCGGCTCGACGGACGACTCCCAGTGCTGTGTTCTGATGCCGACAGTGTATTGGCGCGCGTAGGCGGCCGGCTGATTGGCCCACTTCTGATACTGGTGGTGATCGTATCTCGATCGGTGTAGACACTTGACGCAGTCATGCTCCCGACCTCCCGAGAGCCCATGGACTCGATGGTGGGCATCCTCCGCACGTACCCATTCAGGATGGAAACACGTTCGTCGGGTGGATATGGGCGACCAAACTCGTCGTAACCGACGGCAGGTGGGATTCTTGGGAGTTCAGGAAGGGCGTCCGACGTTTGGGTCGGTGACGCGGTAACAGCCAGCTCGAGTCCTTCTTCCGTTTCTCGCGTGATCTGAGAGACAAGGGAGCGGAAATGGTCTTGGAAACCGTTGAGCTCGACATCCCCGTGGGTGTTGGAGGGACTCCCATGCTGTCCTTGCATTTCGAGACTGTGATTGGAATCGGAATCATCATCCGAATACAAGGAAGACGCGGCTGCGGTGGGCGATTGAACATGGCCCGAGGAATGCTTGGAATGGGGATTGGAGCGGAGTGTGGATTCGGAGGATTGATGCTGTGAGTGTAATCGGGTTTGTTGCGGAACCAGAAAGGAGGAGGCTGATATACCCGCCATGGAGGGCGATAGAGAGGAGGCAGAAGGCTCTGACGGAATCCCGCGAGAATGTCGATGACGTCGAGATCGTGAGAACGATGGTCGACGCACGCGGTGGTACGCAGTAGCAATCCAGTGGTACGAAATCTAGAACTATGTTCAGCTTTCGAAAAACAGGCAGAGGATCGCGACGCACAATAATAAAAAGTGTTATTACAAGGCGAAGCAGCGATAAAGCTACCCAGACACCCCATGAGGGTGGTTTACATTCTGCGTTGGATACTGACCATATAACATCAATATCGGTATGACAACGCCGTTGTAGGTTTAATTCCGTTATGGGTGAATTTTTCCAGGCGAAAAGCAGTGCCACATTGACAACTGCTGGTCCAAAGAGAGCGAACGATGCAAGAGCATGAAATGCTGTGCGGGTAAGCAAGAGTGGGCGAAGGGGAACATGGTGCGTTAACAGACAAGATTGGAACACCGATAGGACGAAAGCGCATGTAAGAAAGGCAAAGGAGGCCCCTGTGCTGATTCCCAAGACTATTGAGGCAGCCTGTCCCCCGACGGATTCGTATCTCACGAATGCAACGAAGTATCGGACAGTGTTATAAACGGCGAAAGCACCTGAAAAACATTTACATCAACAGCCAGAATTCGAAGCCCAACTATACCACGTACCCATTATGATCTCCAATGAACCCTTGTACAATTTCAGTCGCCGTAGCTGCTTCTTCACGAAGTGTTCCCGATACCCCTTCCGCTCCCTCGTGCTAACTGGATCGCCATCTAGCGATAGGCTCGTGGTCCATGTTGTACGTGGGCCACTCGGATGTGTAGGCTGGCGCGACAACAGGTCGAGGTATGCAACTGATTCCGACGTGTTTGAATGGAGCAACGGCTCAGTGGGATGCGAGAACTCTGAAGTGTTCTGGAGTGTGGCGTTAGAGATTAATGAGACGTTGCGTGTATGAGGATTAGAGGATGTTGGCTCATAGTCCGAGATATGTAGCGCGTTATGAAGGTATAGAGCGGCCATCAGGAATCCAAAGTCGGAAGTCTACCCGACCAACCGCGTGACGAGGTTGTGAAGGCTCAGGAGCCGCCAGTAGCAGAGCAGAGTGATAGATATAGTCGTTGCTCAGGGCGCTTAGCTTGACGGGCTGCCCGTCGGCTGCCACAGGAACTGCTGGTGGGGGTATTGCGCGTGGGTGCCTGGAACCCAAACGTCGACGAATTCGAACATTCATGATGTGGTCGTATTTGCCTTGGGCTTCTTCCAGAACGCGTCCACAACGCCAAACATAGCCTTGCCTTTTGCACACCAACCACGCCCACAGCAGACTCTAACGCTAGTGACAGAGGCTTCCTCACAAACGTATTGGTCAAACGCAATATCACTGCCGAAGAATATATGCATAAATTCGGTTGATCCCTTGTGGCCACATCACATAACATCGTGACGTCGCCATCATGTCTGGGTGGTGCCACTGCCACAGGTCCTCCTCTGACAGATCGTACACTTGCCTTTTGGAAGTCTCTCGTATAGAGCAGAGGCGTCTCTGATCTATTCGTGCGTGTTTTATTTCTATGCTTATAATAATACTCTTTGGGAAAAAGTGCTTTCGAGGAGCAGGTCGCCCGGCCAGAGTCTGGCAGTTAGGGCATTATGGAGGCGCTTCTGCTTATATTCTGCGGTCTATGCATTAAACAGACTAGAGGCTCGCCATTCTAAGCCTTCGTGGCTTTGTGTCTTTGCCCAAGCCCGTCTCTGATCGCTGGGCGCTTGCTTCCTATATCGACTTTCTGTTTCCCGCCAAGTTCCGTCGGTCGACCGATAGGCAGAAGTGCACTTGACTGGATGTCATTCTGTACACATCACATAGGCCAAGGGGGCCCGCCGCCCAGCCCCTTTGAACTTTCTTCGGTCGCTTGCTTTATGCTGGTGCTATAGACCACCGAGCGGAGACAGTTTCTGTAGAACTGGTCCTATAATCGATTCTGGAATCCCAGAAGCGTATACTTACCGAGTATGCTTAGACCCCGGTGGCAGCGACCCGTGTTCAAATAGATCCCTGTTGTGGCACTGTAGCTTTGTTCGCCCCAGCAGTGTAAGGCTGACTTTGTGGATCTGGGGAAATCATTCGGTCTTTCTGACGAAATTCCAGCGCCATTAATTTCCCTTGCGCCCCTTCCAGATGCATAAAGACCCCCAATAATGAGGGACGGAGTCGCCAGCCTCATGCCAAGGGACCGTCGACACGGTTGAATTGCTGTCAAGCAAAGACAAAATCCCTGCGCTGAGTGACTCCCGTCCAGGAGCCTGGGCTAGGGTGCATGGCACTACAAACCACAAACTATATTTGACAAGGCACAGTGACCGTATACATTCGTCTAGACGAGCATCTTCGAAAAGCCCAGCTGGTCAAAGACACTGCTCTGTTTTTACTAGGAAGCTACCATGAAGCCTCGGGTTGTCGTAAACGCTGGACGTACTAAATCAAATAGGAAAACATACTTGGTTCCATATTCGAATCACCTACGCGTACATATGACACTGCGGCCGCCTTCCGACCCCTTCAGGGTTTCCGAACTTCGCCAAAGGCCGTCTTCACGAACGTAGTTTCATCGTCATCCTGTATTTGATATGTCAGTATTTGCATCCGCATCTACGGCTATCCCATCAATCGTCTCGGGCTCTTTAAAACTTACGTCGTGCCTTCGAAGCACAGTAGCTGCCAACTAGTCAGCTCTTGGGACCCCTCATAATCGACATTCGCCTGTATGATCCGTATCTGACTGCGTATAGCCAACCTATCACCGGTAAACGACGTACAATCGACGACGTTGGACAGCAGGAACGACAGTAGTGGTTCTACCGTCAAGAATCTGGGGATATTTCTCCCCTCCCACAAGTTCTTAGCGTCTGGACCGTGCAATAAGTCTGCAAGTCCAAGGCTCTCACCCTTCGTTGCAGGTGTTATCTATTCGCCACAAGTACGCAAGCGCCATGCCCGGATCTCATCTCTTTCTATTTGTTATTCCATCTGGCGACGGACATTCTCCCCATGCCCGTGCACACGCACAGGGCCGACTGTATTCTTGCAGGATTACTAGACTGCATATTATAGTGGAGATTATGTCGGATCCGCTTAATGTGTTTATTCCGCGAGACGGCG